TGCTTTCACTAATTTGAAAGTCACAATCTCAGAGAAATAAAAACACTTGATGACCACAGGCCTCTTCCATCAATAGCTCTGCTTGAAATAGGGGTGTCAGGTCCTTGTTTATATGACTGAGATTCCAAGACATCAAACACATTGCTGACCCCTTGGCTGTCAGTTCAGCAATATTTCCCAGATGGCAAAATCTAGCCAGGAAAGAAAGCTTCTTTCTCTTTACATCCTTCCATATAATGTCAGTCATTTCAAGGTATCAACCACTCCTTAAACTGTGAAAGATCAACTTAATGCTGTCTTGATGCAAGGATACATGATATTAATGCTAGATTAGCTTGACAAACACTGTGATTGACATAAAGAAGCCCCAAGTTTTGCTAGAGGCAAAATTAATTTAACTCAAATACACAGTATTTGTAATACATTTGTAAAGAACAAGTATATAGCAAAAAACTCACTTGTAGGACACAGATGGTTAGATTTGACCATTTATCCCCAAGCAACACCCCTCAGGATGCAATATGCAATAATTAGTTAAAAGGCCTTTCAGAATAAACTTTCCCAGATAAATAAGCAGTAGGAATAAAAGGAGCTTTGAAATGTAAAGGACATTAATAAGACACACAAAATAGGGCCAGAATTACTCAGCGCTGAAGTTTGTTCCACAAATGTGGCCTGATCTATATATATGCTGTAAGGCACTCCCTGTAAATATTATTTGTGGTATATTTATTATAGCAACAAACATCCAGTAGGGAATGAAAACACGATTTCTGTGTGTTTAGTGGTAGGATGTTACATTTAAAACAGTATCAAACATGGAAACTGAAACAGCAAATAACTGTCATACTGATGCATAGAAGTTGGAAATTCTGAGATCACAAAAACAATTGTCATGGGAGCAACTGCTGGAAAAATAATATCTCAGCCTTAGAAAAAGACTCAGCTAAAGACTGTGAATGATACCATATGCTACTAGAGGTCTCTAACACACTTAGAACACAATAGAAGACTAAAAATAGACAATACAGTTCTCAAAATGGTAAAGTAAGACAAAATTTTCAGAGGTTTTTTTTAAAGGAAAATTATGATCCATGACCCTCTCTTACAGCTATACTTTTACTGGAATTTACTGGATCCTGAAGTAAAGAGGTAGAATGCAGTTTGAAACACTGTGATTTTTATCATTCTTTTAATCCTATTTAAAGAGCAGAATGAAATCCTAATGTGTGTCAATTGTCATAGTTTTACTGAAACCAATCAAGTTATTTTGATTTCCAAAATTTTTGAGAATTTGACCAAAGTGTTAACCAGGGAAAAACAGATTTATTGAACAACTGAGGAAAGGAGCACACAAGCTGTTGTAAACAGACCAATAGGCAGAAAAAAAATAGAATCAAGATTCTAAGAAAGAAGAATAAAATATCTCTACTGCAGATTTATGTCATATAGGATACGTATAAAAAAAGGGGAAAAATTGGAAAAAAATTTATTTCTGCTTTATGTTACCCTAAATCACTTATAAATGACGATGTAGTAGGACTTAAAGCAACAGCAATCATCCTTAGTCTCTTGACTTTGGATACAGAAGTGATTACTGGAAAAACTCTAGTGTGTGTGCTACAGAAACCTTCTTCTTTCATGTAAATTTTGAATGTATTTTTGTGGAATGTAGCCATTATGAGATTGCACACTGAACCACTTTTTTTCATGCAAGTGCTGAGTGCCATACAGTACTTGTGACTCTTTGAAGTTTCTTCTATCTATTCATATTGATGATGGTTTTCCTTCATTTCTTGGCAGCCAAACCCAGACTGAACAGAGGAACGGGAGAAGTTATGTGTTTTTAAAATAACAAGAACTAATGCAGTCAAAAAAGCATAAGTGGTAATCACAGTTCCTAACTGTGCAGCACAGCACTCATCGAGAAAACTTTTAAATTTTCTTTCAGAAGGGGTAAGGTTACTCTATGAGTGAGAACATTCACTTAGACAAAAGTATTTTTAAAAAACACTGAAGTACTTTACGGGGATGTTAAAAGTAGCTGTATCTTAAAATAATTGGCAGTACTGCAAAGAGTAAATAATTCCCTGGGTGCCTTTATATTATAAAGCTGTGTAGACCATTATTATTTAAACAGAGGAAGTGCTTGGGTAAAAGAGTTAGCACTGTAGGATTGCTAACTTAACACACAAGTTGTCAAACCAATAGCAACTCACTGCATTGACAGTAACTGAGAGGTTATAAATGATTCTGATATACTCATACAAGAGGTAAGATAAACTGTAAGAGATGAAATGCATATTGTAAGTTTAATCCATGACCACATTGCAAAAAGCCAATCAATTCTATTAAATGTGTATATATGTGTATAAATATCATTGACAGAATTATAAGTAGTCTTGGTAAGTAAAAGAAACATTTGGGGAGATAATGTAGTCTGCCAGAAAAACTTCTTACAAATTGGAAAGTGCATATCTTCAGACCAACATCAATAACGAAAAGATTTAGTCTCATTTTCAAATCAGACTGCTTTCAGGATCTCCCACTGAAATAAATGCCTGATTCAGCTATAGGTAACTGCCACATCCATATTGTGGTAAGGCATAAGAGGATGATAAGACAAAGATCAGGTTTCCCCACAGTATTTTTTTTCAAGCAAGATATTCATCCCATTGAATGGTAAAGCTGGAAATCAGCAAAGGAGAATTCATATAAAGCTTGTCAGATTTGGGGCTAGTGTTTTCAAGTTTATAACTTCTTTAGCCTCTTTTCCCTTGCTGTTTATCAGCATAGATAAGTATTTGCTTTTTAATCAATTCTTTAGAATTTTACGTTAAAATTTCTTCTATGGAAATACATTTCAATTTTGACAGGCACTGTTGAGTTCTAAATGTAAAATATGAAAGAAAGTAATTTTAAAATGGTAAATGTTACATTAATTTGGCCCCTTCATAATGTAATTTTCTGAAGAGCACTGCTTTTACAAGCCTGTGTAACCTAAGGTAACATACCTTTCTTTTTTTAGGTCCGCTTGAGTTTTCTAAAAGTCATAATGTCACTATCTTGAATAAACATACGTGTTATTTTCAGACATTACAATGGAGCAAATGCTGGCATTTACCCTTTTCCTGAAAAAAGTCTTTTACGTCTTTCTGCTTTTGATCTATTTATTTTTGTTTCAGTTCACCAGGCACTGTGAGAACATTTTGATCATTTGCAATAGCTATTTCAAAACTGAGCAATCTAGCTGAGAAAAAGAAAACAAACTTCCTTCTCTCTTAGTTTTAAACGATGAATTTAAAAAAGCATGGAAGAGCTCTATCATTTACTAATTCTAAATACCTGGAACAATGTCACAAACTTTCAAAATTCCTTTTGAGACCAAGGCAGGAATGTACAGAATTCATAGCAAAACTGCATCCCATAGACCTCGGTTTGTGGTCAGCTGAAGGGAAGATAGATACCATTTTATTCTATTGGTTTCAGTAAGAGCGAGGCATTTCTACTACTCAAATGCCTAGCATATTTTTCCTAAGGGTGCTTCTCCAAAAAACCTAAGGGATACTGAGCAAAAAGAATTACCTATTACTTTGAGAATGCTCCTTTTTTCTACTATGTCAGAAATAGTTTAGCTCGTCACATTTAACTCACACAAAACAAGATTCAAATATTCTTTGATTGTGAAGCTTCTGTTTATCTTGCTGAGAGTGGTAGTCAAATTATCTATTCGTTTCTTATTAAAAATTGTCACATATGCACTGCACGTAAACCGCAGTACTGTCATTATAAGTCATTCATCTTTAGCTGGATGAAAACTACTAGAAAACTACTTTGTCCTCACTATGACCTGTGTATCCTGAAATTGCACACAGTTTAAAATGAGACCTGAAATATTTATATATCATTTAAATTATGCAAAATAATCTACAGGCAACCATAAAAACTTATGAATCTGAGAGATAGTTATATGAGGGCAGGAGATGAGTGGAGGTTTTGTCCTTAAAAAGAAAAAAAAAAAAAAAAAGGGAAGACTGAAAAAAAGAAGGAGTTATTTCAAAAGAAGAACACGAGAAAAGATAAATTTAAATGCTAGAAATGAGAGCTAGACTTTGTGTGTTCTGATTGTCTAGAGAGAATACAAATGGTAAGAGCAGGTACCCGTAACAGAATTTTCAACTGGATTTTTGCCCATGCTCCTGAATGCCAGTGTATATTTTCAGGTAAACACCCATCCTGCTCCTTAGAAGTTAAATTAGTTTCTCCTCTGGGTTCACACAGTGGAACTGTTCTTGAGAGACTGGCTACTCAACCAAATACACTGCATTTAAAATTTCAGTGGCACCCAAGCCAGCTTTCCATTGTCTTGAGACAGTGCATTGGTTTATTGAGCAGTATCATATTATTAATGTCACAGACTAGAAGAGGCTTCTGGGAGTACTGTTTTCCTTTCTAAAACAAAACAAAATGTCTTTTTTTTTTTTTTTAAACATCTTTGCCTAGTCCCTAAGACTTCTAGAGAGGAGTCTTCAATATTCTGAGGGAGCTATTCGCCTCTTAATACATATGCAACTGCATTTCACAGCTCTTGTAGTAACATCATGTGGACTCTTCTTAAAATGGAAAAGAATATGAAAGACCTTCAAAGACATCTATGGCCTTTTGCCTCTGAGAGGGGAACTGCTGGAATCCAAACTTGCTACTAGTTGAATCAATTCTTTTCTGCAGACTAAACAAAAATTTATTAGGTACTTTGAGGATTTTTTTTTTAAAGACTGGTAGCTAAAATGGCCAATCTCACGATAAAATGGCCTCATGCTTTCCCAGCAACAACCAAAACCTGAGTGTTATTAACATTATTCTCATCCTAAGTCCAAAACACAGAACTGTTCCAGACACAAGGAAGAAAATGAACTCTGTCCCAGTCAGAAGGACAGGAAGACAGAAACTTGAATCTAAAATGCCATAGGGCATCTCCCAAGGTAAGCAGGCAGTTTTACCTGCAACTCAACAACAGATGGAATGAGAAATATTGTGGCTGATTTGTATGTTTTCGGACTTAATAATGTTGACATATTTTATTGTCTCTCCTTTGCATTAGTATCATGATGTAAAATGAAATTCACATCAATTATTACAGAAAACTTTAAAATCAGTCCTCTTTGGTAACAGAGAGTTGTACCTTGGAAGGACTAAATCCACCAAAATATGCTGGGAAAGCTTAAGATCAGCCAAATTGCAGCATAGCCTCTCGGCATTCTGAACAGAATCAAGAGAGCAGGAAAATGGTGCCAGTCTCTAACTGTGTGGAACCAGATAATGGGGTGAGAAACATCTCTTTTGTATGAAACAAAATCAGCATAACTCTAGGCTCAAAGCCATAGTCCATTACATAATACTGTTAATTTAAAAAAAAAAAAAGGAAAAAAAAAAAAAAAGAAGTTAAAATCATGTAGTTATCCACATAGTTTCTGTAGGAAATGGGAAGTCATTATTTGTATGTAGCTAGGTATTTCTGGGGAACACGACTGGTTAAAGGAGAAAAATTGCAGAGCAATTAGGGACACAGAATAGTACAAATCATGCAAACCAAGGTTCTCTGCTGAAAAAGTTTGCTTGAAGGTGAGACAAGGAGATGTGAAGAAAGACATACTTAGGATTCAAGAGAGAGGGAAAATACTTACCCACGTAAGAATTTAGCCAAGACATAAAGGCTAACAATTCTACTTTTCAAAGCGTATTGTGAGACATAAATGGTCTGGTGCATTGTGTTATGTTGCAGTAGAAACAATTACTTTCATAGCAGCCTGTGCTTTATGGGTTTATTTGGAAGTTTTCTGATGCACGGATCAGAGAACTGACTGTTAATATCTGTATGACAAATATATTTTTAATATATAGCTGTACTTTCTTTTATAACTAACAGAATTCATAAAAGTAACTGTTATTTCCATAGCTATTTTCCTTAAATCAGTACAAACAAATGGCACTTTGAGGTCTTTTCCTCCCCCCACAGCCACCTTCCTCTCCCCTAGGATATCTGTTAGAAACTACTGGGGGGGCCTGTGATTGTAGTCAGTCCACCAAAATCCCATGTTCCTTCTAAAAAGACTTCATGAATCACCTATCTCGAGATGAAGTGAAACTTCTAGATTGTATTTAGGGAGGGAGCTTTTTTTAATCTTAAAAAAAAAAAAAAACCACCAAAAAAACCACAACGTGCTAATACACTTCCACTTGAAGCTGTTTTCATTTAAAAGTGAGTTGCCACACTGACATTGTTCTCTTTCCTCCAGGAAAAAAAAAAAAAGCTGTGAATAAACTTTTCGCAGAATAATGTCATTCAGGAAAGCATTATTTCTTGGCTTAGGGAACTACCAGTGAATGCTGTGAAAGAACAATGATTCACAATACTTCTGTGCTGGACACTGATATGACAACACTCCACCACCCTGCCCGTGATTCAGTCATGAGACAAAATCAATAGGAGGGAGGATCTCAAGAAGTTGTAGAATAACCAAAATGTTCTCGTCTGGAAGGTAGTAAAGGAGTTTGCAATGAGTAAATGATGAGGCTAATTAGTAACATACAGACAGCGTCTCCCTCAAGTGCCTGCAAAACTCTCCCCCTTTGACACAATGCCAGCAAAAACAAGGGAGGGCAGTTCCACAGTGGCTGGGTAGCAGGACTGCTGAGACTTTAGCTGTCCATGCAATTTAATCGTTCCTGGCAGCTTAGCACAGCATCAAGATAGTCTTCAAGAAAGCTAGAAGTGGAAGGATTTTATGGATCCCTTTCTTTACAAAAGGGACATTTTGGTGCTGCATTATACCTTTGTCAAATATAAATGTTTTTAATCAGAACAAAAAAATGAACCCCACAAGAATGCAAACCTTACACCACGAAGTTCAGCCTATAAGAATAAATGTTTAAAACATCCCTGAATGTAACAATGCAGATGTAGTGGGCATCCCTGCAAGTACTGAGGCCACAGGTTTGTTTGGGCCACAACACACACTTAATTTCTGTTTGCTGTCCATGCACAGAAAGGCAAGTAGCAGGAAAAGAGGTGAGGATGTGTGAGGGATTTATTGTCTTGCAGCCTGAGTGAGGGAGAAGCACATGGTTGTTCTCAGCATGGCATTCATTTTAGATTGTAGGGCTTTTCTGGACTTTTTAATTGTTTTAAAAGTTTTAACTGGGCTATTCCCAAGCAGGACCAACCATTTCTGCAGTTACTTCAGTAGCTGTTTCTGGATGTTGCTGTGTTTCTCAGTACTGTCTTCTCACAATTTTCTATGCCTCTCTCTTCTTTTCAGACAGGTTTCTCTCCATGGTCTGAGCAATGAATATGGTAATTGAATTGATCTTATTCTACAGACATGGATGGTGAGCAGAGCAGCCAACAAAAAGGATATTATTTTTTGTAATATTACGTAATATATTTTTATTAATTATAAAAGATTTATTTGTTACTCTGAAAAGGAAAATGCTCCTCTCTATGGAGGAGACTTGGTTATCCTCACTCAGGAGGTAGGAAACAGAATACATTTATTACATATATTTGTTACATCCATTTCTCCTTGGCAACAATCATGAAAGTTGTATTTTTCATCAGGTTTGGAATGCCTGTTCCATGGCTTCCCTCTTTGTTGCCACCATCATCTGGAAAGCTTGGAGAGAGAACACCTCTTCATTCGGCTTTGCAAAAAAGGTCTCATCCAATTTCAGACAGAATGTCAAAGGATGGAAGACACTGGAGCAAGGACAGGAGAAGGCAAGTCTGCAATCTATCATAGTACTGAAGGAAAGCTGTAACTTAGGAGGCTTGACTCCAACAGGCAATTTTCTTCAGAAAGGAAACAAAGCAAAACTCTCCTGAGTTGCTTCTGGTTTTCTTGGAAATTTCTCACATAGCAATCATGTCCACCATGTTATGGCCTAACTATCTCACTTCTCAAAATTATATAATTAAAAAATTGTTACACAGTAATTCATAGAAATGCCCACTGAAGTTGCAACCTAATTTCTGTGCTCACCTCTAGTTTCTTTCTTTTTAGGACTTTGATAAATTTTAACTCTTACACTGAAGAGTTAGTTACGTGGTTGGTGTTCGTCAAAAATACCTTTGAGCATGAACATGGAGACTGAATATGCCTGGATTTTTCATTTTCCCAGCAACCTTAATAGGTTTAAAGTACAGTAGAATAAATGTAGTTTAAAACTGGCTAGACAGTTACAAAGGTGTAACAAAATACTGCACAGGAAACTTCATTCAAAAATGACTATGAAATAGCTAATAAAAGCATTGGACTGTGTTCCAGCTGTAGACCTAAAGTTGATAGTGTTAAAAAAAAAATAAAAAAAATTAATCCTTAATGTATTGATGATGGAAAGGGAGGCAGGAGAAAATGCACTCTCAGTAGCAATGTGTAATCCTTCCCAGAACTGCACATTCTGAACACCAGAAGTCAAGGGCTGTGTGCAGTGAGTTTTATTCCTTCACGAGGAATAGGCCTAATAGGCCTAACATGCAATTTGAACTGGCACAGAGTTTCATTGACTCAACTGAGTAAGGAACAGGCATTTTAACACCTTTCAGAGAAAAGAAATTAACAACCAAGATTGGGGCTGATTTTTAAAATTTTCATGAGTGAATGAATGAATTATAGGTATTGGTGGCATTTCAATGATCTTCTTAAAAATAAATTTTGATATAACAAGACTGTGAAGAAAAGATGAAGATAATGTAAATGTATGTGTAGCCCTGCAAATATAGCTGCCAATACATTTTAGTGAAATGACAAAACTACTCCCTTTTCTGTAAGACATAAAAAATTAAGAAATATTACATTTACTTCAGATTCCCTAATATGAGCAAGGGAATACTCCAACCACATCTCTTAAACTTTCAAATTCAGCTGGAGATACATACATTAAGAATAACATGTAATTTAGTCAATTTGTAGCTTCAAACCATATGGTAAATTATTCTAGAAACTTCTAAGAGAATGAAAAATCCTGCTAGTACTAGTAGCTCTTAGAAACAGTGGAACCAGGCACCAGGTGAAACATACGTCTCCCCAGTCCCTTTTTTTTTTTTTTTTTATTTCTCATTTTTACATTAATTTAATGGTTTATATTAAAGATAAATTTCAGAAAAGAAGCTTTTATTCAGCAATCTCCTGAACAATGACCTTCTACAACTCTACTTAAGAGCATCACACAGGCCCCAGACTAGCACTGGACAGGAGCTAGTTCAGTGCATGGAGAAACACCAGTTGCTGCAGTAAGGATAAGGGGTTATTTGTGAGTCTGTAGATTCATATTTTCTTTGACTGCTACCCTGACAAGTTCTCAAGGACCAGCTACTTTCTAACTTTTTGTTTATGGCACCTTTTCTTCTAGTGTATGGAGATAACATAGCAAAGTGACCAACAGAGATTCAGTTACTAAAAATTATTTTCATTATGAAAAGCTGATCTGATTTCTGGAAAACTGACTGGGAACCCTGGTTCTTAATTTCCTGATATTGTTGTAACTACCTGTCTGTTCCACTGAGTGATACCTTTTTGAGCTCATCTCTGGGAACTGTTCTAACACTTCTAACATTATCAGAATGTGCTTAGTTAGCTTTTGCGCAGTGGATTCTAAGAAAGTATTTTATATAAATACTCTGTTAAAAACAAATGAAAAGATAGCTTATTTGGAAAAGTATCATCTAGTTCAAATCCTTATTGATCACTAAAGATTTAAAGAAAAAAATCTGTACAAAACTATGACAGAGTGCACAACAATGTATTCTTAGTGGTTGGAATCCACTCAGCTTTTTCCTCATAGAAGATTATTTTACAATGATTTAATATTTTCAACTTATCTACATTTTTTTACTCTAGTAAGTAACATAGATGTTACACCTATACGTTGCACCTGGCTGTATGTTACACAAGTTCTTAGATAATAAGCTTTATTGGGAAGGATATTGTCTTTTTGTTTGCACCTTCCCAGCTACATCATTCACTGTGTATAGATAAGAGAAACAGATTGGAATGATTAATTTAAGAGATGATAAAGTAACAGCAAAAATACCAGATGAATAAACTTGCATAAACCTTTAAAAGGGATCGTGGTAGAGTTGTATTTAAAAATGTTCACTGGCTTTGGAAGCAAACAGAATTGCTTCCAGAAGACATGACTTTTAAGTTATCATGAAGGATGAAGGTCTTTAAATAGATAAGTCATAATAGAAGCAACATTAGTATGACCAGGAGGCAAAGTAAGCTTACTTACTGAGATAGTCACACAATCCTATGCTGGCATCTTGCTACATGAGTAATGCTTTTCTATATTCTTGAAGAGCAGTTGGGGAAATACTGAAGTCAAAACAACACTGGCTGTATTTGTGTCTGAAATGCTCAGCATAAATAGCAACTTGAGATGCATTTGATTTTTTTACAAGTTTAGAAGTGTAGATAACCTTAACTTGACTCGCATGTACTACAGGCAATCACTGCGGAAGACCTAGCATGCACTGACTTGTACCTGCTCAAGACAGTGACTCATGACCTGCTCTGCCATTTAACAAATATCATGTATCACGTATTCAGTGCCATCTGAGAAGTGCCAGGACCCGCTTCTCTGTATGAGAACATTGGGCAGAAGGCTAAAAGTATAGGGACAAGGCTCAGGGAGTGATAGTCCGGTGTGGAGAGATGCAATATAATGCAGAAAATGGTAGAAGTGTAGGCCACAAAGAAGGATATGTAGAAGTGGGAACACTATAACAAGGCCTATGACAAGTAGGTCCGTGCAGCTCTCTAGGCCACAGTAGTTGCAGACACCTGAAGCCAACAACAAGCAGAAATTACTGATTTCCTAATAGCGATCTTTCATGTTTCACCCCAGTCTCACAACAGAATACAAACAGCAAAATGGTAAGGAATTGAACAGAAACAAGAAACAAATCTTATGACAACTGACTCTGTATGGCTGTATTCTTCATCTGTGCCATAAACTGCTGCTGTCTGCTTCAATCCTCTCAACTTTCCATAGGCTACATTGGTGGGACTGGAGTTCCAAATTTTTCTTCAGAATCAGGAGGTCTATATTTTTCTTTCTTTTAATAAAAGCTAAGAGTCTGATAAATTGGTTCCATGACTTCTGCAGAGAAGCAGTTGGAAAGCCAGCAGAAAAGATGAGCTCTACTTTCAATTATCATAAATTACACCCTTCGGAGTTAAGAAGCTAAAGAAACTTTGATCAAAATTCACTGTAAGTAGAATACAACCTGTCCTAAGCAACAGCTTCACTTTTCCCTTATATTAAGGCAGATCAGCTTTGCACAGGCAGAACTCCCAAGATAAGGAAGAAACTAATAAAGCCCACTTGGTAACTGCGTGGAAATGGGCTCTGAATAGGTAAAAGGTAATTCCATTAGGGGGAAATCATGACCACTAACTCAAGTAACCCACTAACTCAAAAGAAGAGAAAGACTGAGCATGAAGACTAATTAGTGTAAGAAGTGAGAGGAGTTAGTTAACCAATAGAAGATAGAACAATAATTAACAAAAGAACTACGTAACTTGTAGCCCCTGAATATTAATGCCTTCGTTTGATAAAATGTATAATTAGTGAAAAGTTTTTACAGTTGTTGTACTGGCTTTGTGGATTTGCCACCCATCCCCCATTTCTTTGCAGAACTGTTAATAAATCAAGTATCTCGACTCTGTGCACAGCAGCCTCATGCAGAACCTGTTTTGGAACACCACCATATGCTAATATCTTTGGGGTTATAACAAGGTCACCTGGCCACACTGCCTTCTGGAAATGCAACTGATAGAGAAAGCTCAAGATGTGTTGGAGAGCTCTGAAGAGTGTTAACGAGGTTGGACACTTGCAAGGATTTTCCTCCTATATTAAACACCTCTGTGGGTCAAGGGTTTTAGCCTCATTTTGTGACAGATCAGTCATAGTCATTAGGTCCGAGCAGGAGGGAAGGTCTGCTAGAACTTGCTGTGCCACAAATTAACTGTGAAAAATACAAATGTGAAAAACCCAGACCTATTTACTATGTAATTATAGTAAGTGAACAACAAGGAGTGGAAAAACAGAAAATTATCTAAAATACAGGAAAGGTTTCCAAGCCTTAAATTTGCTCCGTTTTCTTGTTGGGTTGCAAAATAACCTTAAAAGCTTTCCTGAAATTTCATAAAATCTCATGCTATTTAAGTGACACCTACCTGAGTCTCCAGCCTGCTCAGTGCTCCAGCTGAGTTTTGTGTTGGCCGTGCCATCCCCAGCATCCTGCCTGCTGGACCATTACTCGGAAGAGAAGCACAGAATCTGGATCAGGAAATTACATTTTGAGACCTAGACATGGGAAAAAAAAAAAAGTACATACAATGTTGCAATAGATTTCTGAGTGGCTTTCAGCCCATCTATTAAGTTCATTCAAAGCAGGAAGCTGCTGAGATTTCGCAATTAGCTTCTGCAAGTTGCCTTTACTCTTCTAAAGTAATGGAAAACACAGGACACAGACTTTTTAAAAGGGTTGTTTTTACTTAGATAAGAGAAACTGATTTTTGAATGCTGCAGCATAAGGGAGGGTCCCCCTGGAAAATTAATGTTGTCAGCAAAGGATGATTTTTTGTGACTTCTCGTAACAATCACAGTGACTGTCTAGCCAGCTCATCCTCCTCTTTATTACTATTCTACAGCTGATACAATAAAACCTGTGGAATGGTTCCAAAACATTGAAATGTTTCTCTTCACCTTTATAACTTTTTTTCCCAATTTGATTCACTTTCAAATCTTGCAAGTGTTGGGGTTGGAGAAACAAGAAAATTTTTGTTCAAGTAACTGGTTTGTACTCATAGCAAGACCTTGAAGACATACAGTAGAAAATGAAAAAATGTTGCCAGAACAGTTTATTTGGACATTAGTATTAGTATTTCTTATAAAAGCAGACCCAGCATAATCTACAAGAAAATAAATTTTTGAAGGAGGTTGCCTACAGAAGCTGTAGAAGCTCCATCATCAGAGGTCCTGAGAAATCAACCAAGCCTGGAGCAGTCTGCTGTAATGTTGAAGTCAGCTGTACTTTAGGTGAGAGGCTGGAAGAAGGGTACTGTAGATGCCTCTTCCAATGTAAACTATACCATGGAAATAGGCCTTGAATTAAAAAAAATATGTGATGGAGGATGGAGGCAGAAATATGCAAACATACACACACGTGAGATTGCATAAACATTTTCTTCAAGAATTAAATTAAACGCTGAGAATTTCAAAGATATGGGCTGAGAACACAGTCCTGTTTCTATATATGTAAGGGCACAATTGCCTAAAGTTTTGTTAGGGCCTTCTGCAGCTGGGTATCAAACAATAAGGCCCAGTTTCAGTTACCTTTATTTTGGTCAAGGTGAACTTGTTAGAGCTGGAATTTCCTACACTGAGTTGCTTACTCAGGCTTGCAGGTGACTTTTAAGTCCCTTTAAGAGTAGTTTAGTCATTTCCAAAAGCAAATTAGCAGAAAATATGCATTTCTTTCATATAAAGAAAATGTTTACAAGTATTTAATTAAAGCTGTGCTTTTTAGTAGTGTTTCAAGTTTGGCAGTCTAGAAAACCTGCATAAACTCGGGGCCAAGTCGTGAGTGGCTTAGTTGATTTACATAATTGCAGAAGAGATTTGTTGGCACTGTGTAGGTGGTCTCCAGCAGTCTCTTCACTGACAAGAACATATTCCATCTCAGAGCTTCCAAGGCAAGTAGAACTCTTTGTATGTGTAATGGCAAACGGTGAGGAACAGAAATCAGTGATGCTGCTGGTGCACAGCAATGGAATTTGACAGGATGGAGAGCACAGCAAAGAATTTAATATATGGTGGAGGTGAAAGGAAGGAGGAAAGGCTGAGTGTAGCAGAATTAGAAGGATTTATGAACACTAAAGCATATTCTACTAAAGAATGTGAAACTCAACCCTGTACTCACTGCCTTCCCATGAATGCATAATTTTAAAAAGGTATTAAATCTTTAATCACAGTATGATGTAACGATTTCCTTTTACTCTTATAGGATTTATGAACCAAACAGATTGTGTTCACAGAATGGACCAAGCTCCTGGAAGAAAAAAAACCCAAACCTGTATAAATGTCCTTGTTTGAAAAAGGAAGATGTGTAGAAGAGGAGAAAGGAGCTCACAGAATGAAAACATAGGTTCAATGACAGGTGGGTTCAGCCCTGAGGAAAAGAGGTCTGTCCCTGTCTTCATCTCACCACCTCCCTGAGTTTGGGCAAGCTCCTTAATGCAGATCTTTCACAAGCAACAATGATTTTCTGCATTCCCTCCTACAAGAAATGCTACAAGCAGTGAGGTAACATATGGGAACCCCAATCTGATAACTTTGGCCATTACCAGCATCTGGTGCTGGTCATTGCAGGACAGGTTTACCAGGCTGAGAACAGGACCCAGTGCAGTCCCAGGTGTGTTCCCATTGCCACCCTCCCATCCCCTCTGCTGCCCAGGCTCTACCCTGCACGTAACAGCCCTGAGTACAACTAATCATGTAGTATCAGAATTAATCAAACCTCAGGAATGTGAAACACCATTTGACCTATTTACCCTGCCAAGAAGCAGCATAGAGAAAAACTCTACCAACAACACCATTACCAAAATACACTACCAATGCAACAAACTTGTTTTTCTGCCACAGGCTACAGTAGATGAGCCTGTGAGAGCTACTCTGACTCCCATTCCATGTTCTTACAAGCACACTACACGCCTTTGGTTTTAACAGGTATGCCTGTTATGTGTCAGTTATTTTCACAATATTCAGCCTGAGGTTAAAATGACATTCAACCTGAGGCTATTTGACTGCACAGCTTATACAAAGATACAATTTGTTATTTTTGAACAAGTGTGCTCATGTTGATATCTTTTATTCTTACAGGTAGGTTGGCAGCAGTAACCACCTGCAGGTGTCTAGATTTCCACATCTCTGCAAAACCTCTCCTTAGCTCTGCAAGGGCAGGTAAGGTTCCTACTTTCCCTTACAAGAAGACAGATGACGACACTGTCACTTGCCAGAGACACCTGCAGGCACCTCTGGTAGAAGTGCCATAATTCTTGATTAGCCAATGCTGCATCAAAAGAGGCCACAGAGTTCATGCCTAACTTTATATCATGTTACTTACCAACTAATAAGAACCAATGTTAATAATGTAATAATTTTTTAAAAAAAATTTATTGAAGATATCTGCAATAAAACCTTGTCACTGTTGTCATTCCTTTACAAAAAATGGATCTTCTACTGCATGAGTGGTTTACAAGATCCTTATCTCAACAACTGCATCGTCAAATTTGTGTCTGCACAAAGAGAATCTGTGGCAGACGGTGATGCGACACCATGGATGAACCCAAGTCCTTTCTCCTGCAGACACAATAAACTTTTCCATGTTGTCCTTATTTATAGCTTAAATTCTAGGGAAGGAAATTACAGCCTTCTGGCAGAGACTGCAGCCAGGAAAAGGTGCAGTGGGAACTATTCCTGGCTAGTGGTTTAGAATATGGTGATCTGCCTACTCAAAAATAAATTACAGCCAGTAAATATTTTTATCCTGTATTTTTATTTACAAAACCACACCCTAATAGATTTGATAGATTCTGGTCATGAGTGGGCTGGCTCAACAACTTTGTTATAAGATTTTTTAACTATCACAGAGTACAACCTTTCTTGTCTAGATGTATTTATTTTTATAAAGCCAGCTTTTAAAAATAGTTCATTGGTGGGCAAAAAAAAAAAAAAAATCTGTTGGAAACCAGAGTGTCCATGAAGATATGGAAAATACATTCAGGATGTGGAAGGAGGCTGAGAGCAGCGAGACCACCTTTGAGGAGTGGAAAAACCAGCTTGAGAAGGTGGACAATGGATTTCAGTGTGCTTAAAAGACTGTTTGCAGTGGTTCAGCTAAATACAAAACCTATTCGTAGGTTGTCTCCCCCCTTTTCCCTTTTTCCCTCATGGACTGATAAGCCTGACAGGCTTGGAAACAGTTTCCCATTGGTCGGCATACCCTGAGGCT